CGATTTGTTCCAGAGGCCATGAAGGCGGCTGAAGCAGGCAGTGTGGAGCGCTTAGAGCTTGGTCAGACATGGAAGACGCCAAGGTCATCCATTGCATTTTGGACCATCGCCAGTCATCCTGATTTTTATCTTGCCCCTGGACTTCAGTGACTCTGGAGGACAGAGTGAGGCTGACGACTTTGTGCAGCTGTCTTGCTTAAATCTAATTCACCCCACGTCAAGAAATCACCTGTGATGTTACCTGGTCCTCTTTGAAAATGGACAGACAACAACAGCAGAAAAATATTTAGCTTTTGATTTTTTCAGTTTGTATTTGAATTTCCTAACTATATCAAGGTTAATAGCTTGCTAACTTACATCATAGAAATGATAATGGAGTCAGTACTAATTTAGAAAAGCGCTCAGTCCTAGTTTCTATGTCTGCTTTGGTCAATATTAAATTTTTCACCAGGAGGACTAATTTAAAAATCAGATTCTCATAGTTTTTTTTCCCCTAAGATTTTTCCTTTAGTTTGTTGTTAGCAGTGTGTGTACCAGGCACAAAGTTTAGATAAAGATGGAAACAGCCAGAGATATTTAAAACTGAAGTTTTCTGAGGGTTCTGGTGAACTGTGGGTTCCTAATTTAATGTTATCAGAACCACAAGGTTTAAGTTGGTTTTAATTAGTTATTGGAGAGGCAGTCTTGAAGAGGTTGTCCTAAAGTGTTCCGAGATCTGTTTTGTAAAAGATTTCAGCAAGAACATATAAGAATTTCTTTTTTTTTTTCCTTTTTGGCTAGGCAATGGGGTTAAATGACTTGTCAAGTGTCTGAGGCCGGATTTGAATTCAGGTCTTCCTGACTCTAGGGCTGGTACTCTATCCACTGTGCCACCCAGCTGCCCCAAACATCTAAAAATTCCTATAAGCAATGTGGAACCAGAGAAGCAAATCTACTAAAGAGGAGACCACTTCAGAGATGCCCCGAGGACTTCCAGGAGAAGATGTTCCCGGACCAGAGAGATGACCCAGGACATCTGAGCTCCAAGATGAAACACACTGCTTCAGTGGACATCGGGAGTGGGACGCTGGGATGTGAGGAGGCTTGACGGTAGTTAACACCGATGATCATCATAGCTTTGCTTTGGTCTTTTACTGCACAAGTACTTGTTTCCTGAGTTTTCGTCATTATTTTGGAGACATGCAAATCTGTCTTCTCCATTTAATCCGAGGTTTTAGATATTCCTGCCAAGACTTGTGCTGTGATTAACCAGCCTCACTGTCGTTCATTCTGAGCTTTGCATTAGTTACTGTGTTAACGCCTGTTTTGAAATTTGTGCTCATGTGCCCTCCTGTTGATGATGATCACATTAAGGATCTTAAAAGATTAGCTTATAGACAAGTCATCTCTGAGAAATACATGTCTCTTGTTGATCAAAGGGGAATTGAAATTGATCCTGTATTGTCTTCTTATTGATGCCATTTACAAGTAATTCATCTTGCGTGGTTCTTTGTCTCTGAACTGTATTGTGCTGGCCTGTAAAGGGTTAAGTTTTAAGCTCCATCTCTTCTTGCCTCGAGGATTTAACCGCCCTTGGGGAATGTGGACAGGGAGGGAATCAGGCCTGATATCTTTACTCCACGTCCAAAAAGGGCAGGTTGCACCTGCCTGTGAATAATGAGCTCTTCTTGGTCTCATGAGAAAAGGGGGTCCTTGCCAGTCCCGTTATCTCAGTCCCATGATATCGTCTGTCCTTCTCTGTTCTTTGTGCTGTACTCCCCAAAATCTCTAAAGGGGGGAGCTGTCCTTTTACTCAGGGGTCTTTGGCATTAGTGGAGGCCAGCCCTGGCCATGCCCCTGCTAATAAATGTTATCTTGCATGGAGATCTGCCTCAGTTTACCCTTTTGTTAAAATTCAATCGCATCAGGCAGTTCGTTGCTGCTAAGGGATGGTAAACTAGGCCCAGGACTGGAGGGAAGAAGAGTGCAGGTGAGGCTGCTCCGTGATGCCGAGTCCTTTGTTTCAGCCCAGGATGAGCCCTGCACCAAGCAGTCTCTCAGAGAAGGGGCCCCGGCCCATAGGGTGGGCTCAGCCCCAGACTGAAGCTTTCTTCACTTGGTTTTCTACACCACGGCAGGAAGAAGAGAATCAAACTGTGTACCAAAGGCACGGGCAGCTCATTGCTAAACACCAAGAAACAAAAAGGCCCGAGGTGGTGGTGACATCTCACGGCCTTGTTTGTCATTGCAGTTCAAGGAGAGAAGCTTTGTGAGCAGATTCCAGTGACCCCAACCCAGGCCAGAGGAGGGGCCTGCTCCCTTTACCCCCAAGGGGAGATTCTAGGCCCCTCCAAATGTCTGTGCATCAAAACGAACACTAGTCTCTTTCCTCTGAGGCGACCTGTCTGGGAGTCATTGAAATCATAGGCTGCACACAGCGAGGCGAGCCCCAGGAAGGAGGCTTTGGTGGGCTGAGGAGACGCTCTGTGGAGGATTTAGGGGAGAACACTGACAACAGGCACAGGGTAGTAAGGAGTGAATCTGCCCTCCTGAAGCCCCCACTGAGGAGATCCTCGCTGTCCTGGCACACAAGGACTCACCAGGTACTTCACTTTGTCTTGGTCTGGATTAGAACTCACACCCAGAAAGGAGACAATGCTCTGCTGCAGGACTGGTCCCAGAGTTAGCAGACCCCAGGACTACCCTACCTTTAAATAACAGTCCTTTTTCATCATGTAAAAAGGATCATGGGGCTCTAGGGAGGAAGGAAAAGAACTAAGATCAGATCGGAATTAGTCCAGTCCACGTGGGCTCACTCCTTCATGACACCAGACACAGCGATGAGTCAATCAATCCAAGAGAGAAACCAGCTGCAGAAAAAGTTCTGATCGGGAGGGAAATGCTTAGAGCTACTGGATGAAATCAGATGACCAGCACATTAGCATTGGTGGGGAGCATCAGACACAAGTGGGGCCTTGGTGTCTAAGAGAGGGAGCTTCCAGCGACTGCCCCAAAGTCAACCTTGGGACCCTTTGAGGAGGCCGACCTTGGTGCCAGTAACAGGGGACCCCTTGGAGAGGGCCGACCTCAGTGCCTGTAATGGGGGAAGGGGCAGGGGCAGATGAGTCCAGAAGGTGGGTCACACCTCCCCTTCCTTGAACCCCTGGTCCACCAACCATATCATCCAAGAGACTCGACTTGGAACAAACAACACATCCCACCAGCAGTTGGGAGAAGGCCACAGACATGAGGAGTGAAGGGCAGCTTTAGGGTTCCACAAGAGCCCGGGACCAGGGTCCAGCAGGAACACGCTCCACATGACCCAGGTGCTGAGCGTACTAATTACTCCCCTTGTGCCACACGGGCCTTCTACACTTGCACCTCCCTTTCCATGGGCTCTGTACGAGTCCTGGGGAGCTCACTTTTGTACCACTGTCCTTGGTATCCATTCTCTAAAAGCTGGTTCCCTCTGGCTGCACAGACAATCAGTGAAGAGCACACCAGCAGCTAGCTACAAATGCCAGCACCAGAGAGCCCTCGGGGTCACCCTGAGCTGCTCTCAAGGGGCCCGCCTGCCAGTGGCCTGGGCTCCAATGAGCCATCCAAATGCCTGACACACAGTAGGCACTTCATAAACGTTTGTGAGTAACTTTCACAAGATGAAATGATCAGACCCAGAAGTTATTAACTGCTCTGCTTTTGGGCAAAATGCCTGTGGTGTCCTCCCTCAGTGCTCTCCTGTCTGGAGCTAGACTTGGGGTGTCAGCCCTCACATTAGGCAGGGTGTTCTGTCCTCTAGCCCATCCGCCACAAACACACAAACTTGCCTTTTCTGTTTCTTTTGAACAAACTGCCTCACCCTCGGGGGTCTCACAACAAGTCCCTGTGATAGCCAAGAGGCTGGATTTCCCTGTGGGCCAGGTGACTCCGTCCATCTTTCTATCTAACTATCATCGCTGCCTCTGTCTTGGTTTTTCTTCCCTCTCTGCCTTTCTTACAGTTCTGTACCTGTCTGTGGGCTTTCAGTTGGGTTTGAGAAATGAGCATCAGTGGTTTCCGCTCACCCTGGCCAGTTTAAGGAGACTCAAAGGAAACAATGCTCTTCTTTCTTTGGTGAACTCCCTTCAGGCCAAGAACCTGTCATTCCTATTCTTTAGAAGGGGGTCAGAAAAGAAAGCCCTTTTCAGACACCGCCTTCCCTCTGGCTATCTGCATCCCAATCTACATCTCCTCTGTCCTCCACAAGCCCTGACTGATCAGGCTGGTTTACCCAGCCAGAAACAGAAGGAAGGTCACTCTCTCATTACCTGCCCTTGGGTGAGTCCATGCTAGCTTGGGGCACTTCCCTTTTTGCAGGTTCATAAACCCTCCCTTTAATGAGTTCTAGCATTTTGCTAGCACAAAACCATGAAATGACGAAGTTGGGCTTGGCCCTAGAAATGGTCTGGCCCTCATTTCATAGGAGAGATCTCTTCCTTCTTATCCCTAGTGACAACCAAGCTCCCAAGCAGGGCTTTGCACACCACAGGTGCTGTATAAATGCATGACCTGGGGTGCCTCCTGGCCTGTGCATCAGACTGGTCATATTCTACACTCCTGGGGGAAAATACCACTTCTGCCCATAACTGAATGGAACGGAATTACATTCATCCCCAGGACTCACGCTCATTCTCCATGTGTCTTTCTCGGTCTCGTTCTCCCCCCTCTCTCTCAGATCTCCATCCCTTTTTGCCTCGAATGAACTTATCCGGGCATTGAGGCCCAGAACTACCAGCTTCCCTCTGTCTGACCAGCCTCCCCCAAGGTCTCCTTCATGGGAGGCAACACCAGGGTCTGGCACTCAGGCCGACTCCAGCCTGGGCTCCACTCAAATGGGAAATGGTTTCTTGGCCAATTTGAACCCCAGAGAATGAGCACAGAAACTGGGGGTTCACGTCCATGCTTTGAGCTCCTGCCTCAGGGACTGCTCCCCAAAGAATGGGCACCGCTGTCCCCCCAGGGGCAGAACCAGAGCTCAGTACCTTGGAGTTCCTGAATCGCCAGTAGCCATCTGGCTCCAAGCGCTTCCTCTTCTCCATCTCCTTGGGGGAGCTGACTTTGTCAATGATTTTCTGCTGGAGAGGACAGGCCACGTTCTCAACCCATCTTTTGTGCAGCATCTCTTTCCTCCTTTCATTTAAAAAATCTTGGCGTTGCAAATACTTGTCCAGTTCCTAGGAGAAAGTGATACACGACAAACAAGTGAGAGCTTTTGCTCCAGGAACAGGGAATGAAGAGACAGCCTCATCCACTTCCTCTCGTCTAAGCCACAAGGGGGCATTTTCTCGCCCTTCCCACCAGGCTCCCAAAGACAAGAGGCCATGAGGCCGAAGGAGGCGCCGTGGGTCCCAAGACACTCTCTGTTTTCTGTAAAGACAACTGATGGGAAAGGCTCCTTAGGCTTCTCCTGAAACTCATTCCCAAATTGGACTCCCCTCCCTCAGGATTCCTTTCCATTGCTAACCTCAGATCTTCTGCCTGCATTCTATTTTATTTACTCCTCTTCTTTCTTCAGGGAACATGAGAATTGGGGTCCCTGGTGCTATCTGACCTCCTTACCTAGTTCTTACCTAGTCCAAGTGGGAGAGTCAATGGCCCAACAAGAAAAGAGCCACATATTTGCTCCCCAAAACCATTTTTTCCAAGACTTTAACAAAAGAAAAAATTCATCAGTCATTTTTGAAAATTTTGAGACTTTTTTTTTTTAACAATTAAGATGGAAAGTGACTAGGGATCTTCCCTGGAGAAGCAAAGCAGATTAGAAACATCTACTGCCCATGTCTACCCATTGATGTCTTTACCTTGCACAGGAGGGCTGGACCTAGCATTGCCAAGGATGAAGAAATTGGGCCGAATCACATGGAGAATGGTAGATGAGATGGAGGGACCAAGCTGCTTTCAGCCCTCTCCTCTCCTGGAGTCCTCCCCCAGTGACTGGCAGGGCCTACAGTCAGACTGGCCAAGGCTTCTCACCAGGCCACCAACCAGTAAGCAATGAATTCTCTGCCCATGTCAACTCAGAAAGCAGGAAAACAATGAAACACCCCTTCCCCCTGTGTGGCATCCTCAGCCTCCACAGTGGCAGCACCAGATTGGTAGACAGAAAGCCTAACGGGGCTTACAAGGTACAAGGTCCTCCATCTGTAAGTGTTAGTTAGCAGTTGTCAGTGTTCTAAATGTGAGATTCTTGTCCAAGAAGTCCAGAAGACCCGCGGACAGGAAAACTAAAGCCAGGTGAGTTCCCGTTGGAGCAGGCAGAGTCTGGCTCATGTGCCCAAAGGCCACAAGCAATGCTGCTTTATGGAGCAAGTGGCCATCATGCTGGGCATCCAAGTAAGAACAAAGATGTACCAATGCTGTGGGCAGGGGATGAAGAGGTAGAAAAGATCCTATGAAGAACACACAGAGTCCCATGTTCTTGGATTTGGACTGGACTTTCAAGACATCTGTGAACAAGAATCCACTCTATCACCTACACAACAATGGCTTGGGGGCTTGGAAACCACCAGGAGGGGCAGTCCACCCATCCCATTTTGGGAGGAAGCTCTCATTGTTAGGGTTTAGCAAGATCCCCAGGTCCAGACAACACCTCCAGGGAGACTGGGACAAGCACAACAAGGCTTGTGAGGTGGAGGTTGGAAAATGTGGTTCAGAATTATAAAATGAAAGATGCCAAAGGTTTGTGGGATCTTCTGAAGCCTTCCTGCAGAGAAGAGCATCTTCCAGAAGAGTTGGGTGGGGAGTTCCACTGGCTAGGCCCAGCTCCTCTGAAGCAACCTAAAATGGGAGCAACTGTTTGAAAGAAAAGAGCAAGAAGATAAAGGACAGGAAAACTTTGCATGAAACTACCAAAAAGCCAGAATAAATGAGTTCAGGGAAAAAAAAGGTCCTTGGTATGAAGTATCAATACTGACGGGTAAGGTGAAAGCAAGGAGAAATGCTTAGCCAGGAAGAATAACATGGCAGCAGCAACTGTGCCTCCGCAAGAGAAAAGGAATATCCCCAGAGAACTTCCAGAGTGGTTCAAAATCTCAAGAAGACTGGAAATAAGACCAAGAATTTCGAAAGAAGTTTCAGGGAAGCAGTAGACTCTGTAAGGAATAGAGAAGTTCAGGCTGATAAAAAAAGAGAGAGAGAGAGAGATGGAAGAACAAACAGGGGAAAATTTTAAGCAATAAAACTTGGAGAAACTTTAGTTCTCTACAAACCAAAGCAATACATCTAGAAAACAAAGCTCAATGAGGCAATGATAGTTATCTCAGGAAAAAAAAATGTGAAGAAACAAGAAGTCAATATCAGGAAACCATAAGCCCCCCCCCAAAAACAACAACAACAACAACAACAACAACAACCTGAAAGTCTTGAAAATGCATAGCAAAATGCAAATAGACTCCACAGCTTGCCAACAGGGAGGAACCTGAAGTTTAACTCACTCCAAAATTTTATTAAGTTGCCAAACTGCAGTATCAAAGAGCAAATCCTACAAGTAGCCAAAAAGAAGCAATTTACATATTCAAAAGGACTAAATCAATATGTAAGACTATTCAGCAATGATTTAAAAAATGAAAGACATGGCTGAAATATGCTATGCCAAAAATCAAAGAGAAATTAATAGACACTCCAAAACTAATAATCCTGAAAATTTAACATACTGCATCATGACAAATGAGGTAAGAAAATTTAATTCTTTCTTCCTGAGAAATCCAGAACTGAGCAGTGTCTTTGACATGTAAGTTGACCAAGAAGGGGAAAATTAACAGTGGCATCTAGAATTAAATACAAATAATAATGAAGAATTACCAAGTTTTACTTTCTAAAAGGAAGTGATAAGAAAGGTGTAGGTCTTAGGTCATATCTAGTATAAGGTACATACTTTGTAGAAGAATGGAAGAACAGGGCCTGAGAAGTGAAATAATATTCAAGATAATAGATCTGAAGCTGGAATCATCCAGCCCAACTCCTTTATTTTAATGATGAGGAAACTGAGGTTTCATACAGGTTAAGTGATTTTGTTTAAGCCCACAATACTATAAATAGCACAGACAGTATTTAAACTCAAGTCCTTTGACTATATGACCTAGCACTCTCCCCACTGACTCATGGTGTCTCCCTTTTAAAAATTAAGATGCATAAATTGAACTCCAAAAGTAAAGGATAATGAAACAAAGAAGTGAAAGGTAGAGGCCAGGAGGTGATTTTTTTCTCAATTACATGGAAAAACAATTTTTGTTTTGCTAGGCAATGGGGTTAAGTGACTTGCCCAGGGTCACACAGCTAGTAAGTGTCAAGTATCTGAGGCGCATTTGAACTTGGGTCCTCCTGACTCTAGGGCTGATGCTCTATCCATTGCGCCACCAAGCTGCCCCTAAAAACAAGTTTTAACATTCATTTTGCTAAATGTTGAGTTCAACATTCTTTCCATCCCCGCTCCTTGAGAAGGCAAACAATTTGATGTATATGTGTCTGCAGATATATATATATATATATATATACACATATATATATACACACATATATATATACACACACACACACATACTTACATATTATATATATATATGTATATATGCAGTCATACAAAACATTTCCATATTGACCATGTTACCAAAACAAACCCACAGACTTCCCCCCTTAAAACAAGAAAAATAAAGGAAAAAAGTATGCTTCAATCTGCATTCAGACTCCATCAGTTCTTTCTCTGGAGGTGGATAGCATTTTTCATCATAAGTCCTTTGGAATTGTCTTGGATCATTGTATTGCTAAGAATAGATCTAACCATTTACAATTTAGCATCATTCGATGTTGACGTTACTGTGTACAATTGTTCTCCTGGTTCTGCTGTCTTCACTTTGCATCAATTCATGTAAGTCTTCCCAGGTTTTTCTGAAACCATCCTACTCATCATTTCTTATAATAGTTTTCCATCACAATCATATACACAACTTGTTCAGTCATTCCCCAACTGATGGACATCCCCTCAATTTTTAAGTCTTTATCACCACAAAAAGAACTGCATATATTTTTGTACATATAGGTCCTTTTCCTTTTCCTTTGATCTCTTTGGGATACAGACTCAGTAGTAGTATTGCTAGGTCAAAGTGTATGCAGTATTATAGCTCTTTGGCCATAGTTCAAATTGCTCTCCAAAATGGTTGGATCAGTTCACAACTCCACCAACAGTGCATTAGTGTCCCAATTTTTTAACATCCCCACCAACATTTGTCATTTCCCTTTTCTGTCACATTAGTCAATCTCATTAGTGTAATGGTACCTCAGAGTTGTTTTAATTTTAATTTCTCCAAGCAATAGTGATTTCGAGCATTTTTTTCATATGAGTATAGATAGCTTTGATTTCTTCATCTGAAAACTTCCTGTTCATATTCTTTGGCTTTTATCAATTGGGAAATGACCCATATTTATTTTTTTTAATAAATTTTGACTCATTTTTCTATATATTTGAGAAATGAGACCTTTATCAGAGAAACTGTAAAAAAATTTTCCCAGTTTCCTGCTTTCCTTTTAATCTTGACTGCATTGGTTTTGTTTCTGATTACTTAATGTAATCGAATTTGCCCTTTTTCCATCTCATAATGCTCCCTCTGTCTCTTGTTCAGTCATAAATCCTTACCTCATGTATAGATCTGTCAGGTAAGCTATTTCATGCTTCCCTAATTTGTTTATGGTATCACCCTTTATGTCTAAATCATGGACCCATTTTGACCTAATCTTGGCATATGGTGTGAGATGTTGGTCTATATGTAATTTCTGCCAAACTCCTTTCCAGTTTTCCCAGCAATTTGTGTCAAATAGTGAATTCTTGTCCCAAAAGCTTGGGTCTTTGGGCTTATTAAACATTAGATTACCAGAGTCACTTACTACTGCTGTGTATTGCATGCCTCATCTATTCCACTGGTTCACCACTCTACTTTTTAGCCAGTACCAGATTGTTCTGATGATTACTGCTTTGTAATACTTTAAGATTTGGTATGGCCAGGTCACCTTCCCTAGCATTTCTTTTCATTAGTCCCCTTGATATTCTGGACCTTTTGTTCTTCCAGATGAATCTTATTATTTTTTCTAACTCTATAAAATAATTTTTTGGTAGTTTGATTGGTATGGCACTGAATAAGTAAATTAATTTAGGTAGAACTGTCATTTTTATTATATTGGCTCG